TCTGGAATGGGCGCCGTCTCCACCTCATCTCTCCTCGCCTCGCCCGAAATTGTCAGGTTCAACAACCCACAGGTGGGCTCAACGATGACACATTCATTTCATGACACATGTAGTCGTGTGAGATCTAAGATGGACAGTCTTTCCCAGCGCCGAAGTGCAAGAGTGTCCATCGGAAATCATTTCAGAGTTGAGCCTAATACGATGAGCATTGCCAGATAACTTAAACAAAATAGGGTAGAATAGTGTTTATAAAAGAAATATACCAAAATAAGTACATGAATTAAGAAAAAAAAAAGCGTCTGAGGGTTGCAGGATGGGCGCTCGCCTCGTCGCCGGCGTCTGGGAACCCAAGCACCCAAGGATGGCGGCCCTGGGGACTGGGGACAGCTTCGTCCTCTGCCGGGATGTGTGGACGGGGGCCATTCCCGGAATCCAGGGCGGAGTGGAGGGTGGGGACCAGGCGTCCGCACTCGCTGGACGCCCAGGAGTCCTCCAGCCTGCAGGCGAGCCCGGCAGGCAGCGTGTTTTCCGAAGTGTGCTGAATTCGGGAATCGATCGGAAATTATAAGGCCAATTAAACGCCCTCCGATTTAGAGCTCCGATTAAGCCCCAAAGGCTTCAAGCCCTTTCAGCCCTCGGGGCTTCTGCTACAGTGACCTTCTGCGTCCCCTCCAGCGAAAGTCTCCCGGCGGCTGTTACTACGCGGGGAAGGGGACAGGGCCGCCGGCCTCTCCTCGCAGTGGCCCTGGCTGGGGGGGAGGGGGGGACTGCCCTGGTGTCTTCGAGCAGAGAATGGTTCGACCCCCTTCCGGCCTAGAAAGCTTGGGAGAGGCGAACCGAGGTGGCCGCTGGCTCCGGGGACGCAGCCGAGACAGGATGTCCTGGGCATCTGCCGGCGCTGTCGGGGGCATCTCTTCCCGGTCGAGGAGAGTCGCGATCTGCCACATAGCCACCCTCCCGCTCAAAACCCGGCTGACTCCCCACTCTGCGATTCTTTCCAACCCCATTGCCCGGTGGGAGGCTGCTAGCCACAAGGGACAAAATGCCTTTCTTGAATTTTCTCATTCAAATGCTTATCAGCTTTGCAACCCAGTCCGCCTCTCCTAAAGGGAAGGTCTGATAATGACAAAAGTTCCCTGAGATCTTGTCCACCTCCAGTACTTTCTTCCCAGAAGCCTTAGCAACGATGAATTTGGGCCCACCACCGCATGATGGTCAAGGCAGGCGTCTGAATGGAGTGTGGACCAAAGGGCTTGTAAAACACGCCAAGCGCGTGTGCGTTGTGCGTGTTCGTGGGCGCCCCAAATCTTGAAAGGAGATGTGTGGCGTTCTCACTTCTCCCTGTCTCTCTTGAGCAAGCGCACACACCCTCACGCAAGAATTCTTAAAAACATATCATTCAACCTCCTCACTTGCCAGGAAACAGGTTTACTGGAACCGCAGGGCCTGCAGGTGACATGATAGCTTCAGTCAATAGAGAGCCCTGGAAGAATTCAAATAAAGTCCGGGGAAGCTTGTTTAGAGGGTTTCCCGTCTATCAATAATTTCTCTCTGCCTAGCTACTGTCTGGAAAATTGTAGTTCTAACCTGTCTTGAATGAAGAACTATATAAGCTACCCGTTTGGATCCTTTTTTTAGAAATATTTACTTATTTAATTTTGACTTTTTTTAAAAAGAATTGTTTTGTTATTTAATTTTATTAATTCATTCATTTTTTATTTGACCAAAGAGAGAGAGAAAGTGAGAAAGAAAGCAAGCCAGCAGGTCAGTCCAAGACTAGAACTCCAAGTTGGCCATGTGGGAGTATCCAGTGCCTTAACTACCATGTCACCTGCTGGCCCCTAATTTTGCTATTATTATTATTATTATTATTATTTAATTTGACCAGAGAGAGAGAGAAAAGGAAAGCTAGAAAGCAAGCCACCAGGTCCAGGACTGGAACCGCACTCGGCCATGCCGGAATCCAGCGGCTTAACCACCACACCACCTGCTGGCCCCAAGTTTGGATTCTTTTTGACTTAACCTTATATTGTGAGCATGCAGGAAGTTCTCAAGAATGTTTGTAGAAAAAATGCTTAAGGTTTTTTGGAAAACCTCAAAATTAATAGCCATCCCATACTCATTTATTTATATGTTAAGGTACCACAAGTGCTCTTGTTGAATAATGAGGTTAACTGTGTTTTCCACTTCCCATTCTCCTTAGAAGTGATTCCTAGGCCCAGCAGCTGGTGTAATGATTACATCGCTGGACTCTAACATAGTCAACTGCAGTTCGAGTCTTAGATCAACTGGCTTAAAACTCATGCCAGGCACCCATACACGCACTTGCACCCAAGGTCCCAGAAGGAAAATGGAGGAAAAGGGATTGCAGCGAGGTCATACCCCTGGTGGGTGATTTCTCATTTCCTTTCTCTCTGTCCTTCTGGAGAGGGCATGCGCCCTATAGAAAAAATAAATAAATAAATAAGAGAGAGCAGGCAAAGGCCACACAGCTGGGTGAATGACAGAACCTAGATCCCAATCCAGGAAAGCAGTCAGGACTCACAGCCAGATTCTAGCAGGGTGGGAAGTGTTGTAAGCAGAAGGAATATAGTGAGTTAAGGTCCTGAGGCAGAAAATAGTTTGGCTTGTTAAAGAACCTGTAAAAAAGCAAATGTAGCCACAGCATAGAGTTCTAAGGGGAGTAGTCTTAGGACAAAATTAGAGGAAGGAGCAAAGTCTTGTAGGTTAATTGTTGTTAAAGATTCTGAATTGTAACTGTGAAGCTCTTAAAATGTTTTGAAAGGCTGGTATGTGGCATTGTGGTCAAGGGCACTGGACTCCCACATGGTCAACCATAGTTTGAGTCCCGAACCTGGAGGTATGCTTTCTCATTTTCTCTCTCTGTGTTTCCTTCTGGAAATATTAAAATAATAATAATAATAATAATGTTAAATAAAATAACTCTTTGGGGCTAGCAAGTGGCATGGTGGTTAAGGGCGCTAGGGTCCCACATGGCTGACCACAGTTCGAGCCCTGGACATAGCAGCTTACTTTGTCACTTTCCCTCTCTCTCTCTCACTCTGTCCCTGCTTAGTCAAATTAAAATAAGTAAGTAAGTAAATAAATAAATAAAGTTAAATAAAATAATTCTTAAGAGGAAAAAAAAAAAGGCTTTGAGAAGAGCCAGCAGATGGCATAATGGTTACGTCACTGGAGTCCACATAGTCCACTGCAGTTTGAGTCCCAGACCCAGTAGCTTGAAACTCATGGAGGAGAAGGGATTGAGGCGTGACCATCTCCCCTGGGGGGAGGTGATTTCTGCTTTCTGTATTCCTCTGTCTTTCTGGCTAGGCTAGCGTGCCCTACAGCAAAAAAAAAAAAGACCTTGAGCAAAGGAGTGATAAGGGATTTGTGTTTTGAAAAGCTGCCTCTGACAGGGAAGAAATGACCTGGAGGGGCGGCAGGAACTGACACAATAGCTATTGTATCAGCCCAGGTGGAGATGAGGGGCCTTAGGCTTCCTGGGTGAACTGCATGAACTGGGTGTGAGGTGTGACCCTCCCTAGAGTGCAGATGGAGGAGCCATTCCCTGATAGGGATCTGGGGAACAGCCAGGTCTGGAGAAAAGATCTGGAGTTTAGTTTTGGACATGCCAAAGTCAGCTGCTTCGGAGACACACAGGAGAGAGTCCAAGGTGCAGATGGAAAGTGTTGGGATTGTCAGTGTCCACACGGCAGCGGAGGGCAGCTGTGCCATGCAGAAGGCTGAGGGGGCTGAGGGCACGGGACACCAGCGTTTGCAGCGTGAGTACGGGAAGGAAGCCCACGGACGTACGGGAGGAACTTCAGGAGGAGCACTGTCCAGCCCACGCCTGCGCACGCCCCCGTGGAAGCTAGAGCACCACGCAGTCACACTGCCCTTTTCTCGACTCTCACACGCTTGTATCCAAACTGAATGATTCTGCTGTGGGCTGGCAGGCCGCCCTTCTCTCAGAAAGCTTCAACAGAACGTAATTATGAAGGTCCAGGGAAGTGACTTTCAGACTGTTTACATTCCTATCTCAACTAACAAAAACGGGGCAGGTTGGGTGGGCAGACAGCGGGCAGCCGTAAAACACCCAGCTCTGGAGGCTGCCTCACCCGGGGCAGATCCAGGTTCATTATCTGAGACCTCCCTGAGTCTACCTGGCACAACGTGCCCATGGTCTGGACTAGCTGAGGTTGGGGTGGATCGTGCACTCCTATTAGGGGTGCTATATGTCTTTCTCATTCTGTCGCTTTTGCTCAAAGAAGAAATAGATAAATAAATGAAAAACAAGGGGGAGATGTAGTGAAAAAGTACTTATATTTCACTGTCTACATTTTCATCACACTTTTTAAAAAAGCATTATTTATTTATTTTATTTTATATTATTATTTTAAAAATTGGTGAGGATCTAGCAGGTGGCTTAGTGATTAAGGCACTGGACACTCCCACATGGCCAACCATGGTTCAAGTCCTGGACCTGGTAGCTTGCTTTCTCACTTTCCCTCTCTCTCTGTGTTTCTCTCTGGTCAAATTAGAATGAATAAATAAAATTAAATAAGTAATATATATTTTTTTCAATTTGCTATAGGGCACCTGTGCACACCGAGGAAGGCGGGGAGTGAAAAAGCAAGCCTCTAGGTCTGGGACTTGAACATGGTTGACTATATGGAAGTCCAGCACCTTAACCACCATGCCACCTGTTGGTCCCATCATCATTCTTTCTTAAAATTTAATATTATTTATTTATTTATTTAAATTTAACTTTATTTATTTTAATTTGACCAGAGAGGGACAGAGCGAGAAAGAGAGAGGTGAAGGAAAGTGAGAAGGCAAGCTGCCAGGCCCAGGACTCAAACCATGATCGGCATGGTGGGAGTCCAGCACCCCTAACCACCACACCGCCTGCCAGCCTCCCCATCATTATTCTTACTTTCTACCATTTTCTCATTTGCCATTAACAAGTAAATACAATTGAACATTCAACAATACCTTGGGGAACAACAGCAATCACCTTTTGGAACTGACCTGAAATGAAGAGCGTGCTCATTGCTAATCACTTTAAAAAGATAAAGAAAAAGAAGGGGAGATGAATTTATGTATCTTTAGTACAGCACAAACGGAAATTGTGAGTCCGGTTCTGAACCCCAAGCTTCAGAACACATCAAGGTGCAGGGCCCCAGTTCTCCCACATGGATTACTGACTAGTCCCATTGAGGCACTATTTCCCCCCAGCAAAACTGATTCTGTCAACAACCACTGAGACCCTGCTGGGCCAGACTCACCCATGCTGAGCCGATGCCAATGCTGCTCAGGGCTCAGGCGCTCAGGAATTATTTTATGAGAGAAGGATGGGAGGGAGGAAGGGAAGGAAACAGGGAGAGGAAAGTAGGTGATTCTTGTCCTAAAGGGGTTGACAATTTGGTGGGAAGATCTCTAAATAACAGACATTCTCTCTCTTTTGGTAAAATGGTCAGAACACGCTCATTTCCCAGAGCATGGTGGAAATCAATCTTTATGCACTTTACGCATTTTGGATCAAACAGGCTGACCAAATGTAAAATGCTTTCCGTGAGATGGGTCATTTTAAATAGAGTATAATGACGGTGCATTTGTGTTTGAAATGAAAAAAATAAACTTAAAGTGCTCTGCATGATAGCATGATAGCCGATTTCAGCCTATCTGCTTTTTAGCAATTTATCAAGCAATCATTAAGTGAGTTAACTCTACACCCAGGGAATGCTGATGGCAGCATTAGCCATAAATAAATAAGCTAATATGTACCATAGCTAAATGAATAGACTTTTCCTTGGTGTTTTATGGCCTGAAAAGAATGCAGCTTTTCATTAAAGGAATCATTTGAAAATGTGGAAACTGATACTGCCGCAGTCCCGCGCTCTGCCCATTGATAATGGGCCCTGTATTAGCCGTGGGGGTGGGGAGCTGATGTCCATTTACTTTAGCAAAGATTGTTATTGAATGAAACCTTTAATGGGGGCGTTTATGATCCCACTCAGCTAAGAGCTCGGGGCTGCCTTAGAATAGTCTCTCCCTCCACCTTGACAGCTCTTAGAGAATCGATACAGGTAATATGTCAGTCGGTGGTCAGCCGTCCTGCACGCAGAGGGGCAGAGCTGAAATGGAAACTGACAGGTAGCCACTTAGAGAGAGGGTATGGGGTAAACACTCTGAAAAGTGAAGCTTCTCTCGGGAGTGAGGGCGAGCCCACCCCTCACATTACAGTCAGTGCTGGGGTCAGGGAGGAAGCGATTAGAAACAAAGACCAGACAGTAGGGGGAGGGCCACTCAGAGCTTAGGACAGGCCTTTCATCTGGGTGGGAATTTTAGAGCCCTACAATTCACAGATTCACACCACTCATCCTCTTGTAGCATCTGTCCTTGGTCTCAATTTTTAAAAAAAGGTTAAAGGGACCAGCAGTTAGTGTAATGGCTATGTCACTGGACTCCCACATAGTCGACCGTGGTTCGAGTCCCAGACCTGATGGCTTAAACTCATGCCGGGTGCGTGTGTGTACATGCCCAAGATCCTGAGAGGAGAATGGAGGAGAAGGGATTGCAGGGTGATTTCTCGCTTTCTGTCTCTCTGTCTTTCTCTGTCTGTCTGGCGAGCGCATGCGCCCTATAGCAAAAACCTCTCCAAAAAAAAAAAAAAAAGGTTCAAAAAGACTTTTTAAACAATTGCAGTAAAATTGACATAACAAAACATCACCATCTAAATAAAGCATTTTCATTTTTAATTTATTTTTAAAGAATTATTTATTTTATTTCATTATTATTTTTAAATTTGACCACAGAGAGAGGGGGAAAGGGAAAGTGAGAAAGCAAACCACCAGGTCCGGGACTCAAACCATAGTCAGCCATGTGGGAGACCAGTGCCTTAACCACCTCACACCTGCTGACCCCATAACTAAACCATTTTTAGACATAGCTCAGTGGCATAAAGTACATTTACATTGCTGTACAGGTATGGCTGCCATCCATCTCCACAGTTCTCTTAATCTGGCAAAACTGCAACTCTGTATCCCTTAAACAATCATGCCAACACCCCCAGCAATCACTACTCTATTTTCTATGAATTTGGCTGCTCTCCAGTCGGTGTATGAGGGGGATGACACAGTACTTGTCCTTTGTGACTGGCTTATTTCACTTAGCATAACGTCCTCCATTAGGACGAATAACCAACCCGTTGTGTGTTCTTTTGTGTGTATTGTATATACGATGCTAGCTGTCCATTCACCTATGGGTTGCGCCTACCTTTGGGCTCTTGCGTTCTCTCATTTTTTAAAAAACACTATACGAAAATTTTAAAAATGTACAATATGCTAATTTGTATTCTTTCCTAGGTAGGAGTTTTCAGAGCTGTGAAGACCCAGAAAAGCTTCCTAAGAAATTTAGAAAAGCGGACCTTAGATTTTAGGCATGTCCAGTTCCTTCTGCCGCCCCCCCTCACCCCTGCCCTCAATATTTGCTGTGGAGAGACCAGACTACAACGATAGCACAAAATATCTTTCTGTCCTTTTTTTTTTTTTGAGAGGTTTTTGCTATAGAGTAAGTGTGCTCGCCAGAAAGAGAGAGACAGAGCGACGGAAAGCAAGAAATCACCACCCCACCCCCAGGGCGGATGGCCACGCTGCAATCCCTTCTCCTCCATTCTCCTCTTGGGGTCTTGGGCACGCACACACACATGTGCCTGGTGTGAAAGTTTAAGCCACACGGGTCCAGGACTCGAACCACGGTCGACTACATAGGAGTCCAGTGACATAGCCATTATACTAACTGCTGGCCCTAGGCACAAAAATACCTTTCAAAGAGGATTCAGGCTTCCCAAACTTCTGATCTTCAGAATGTCTGGGTGCTCGTGAGAATTTGATTCTTAGACCCTCCCCTCACCCAGGACTGGGAGTCAGTGGTTTGAAGAGGGTCTCTGGGGTCTGGGGTTTAAGAGGTATCTCAGGTGATTCTTATTTTCAGGAAGTTTGAGGAACTCGGGCTCTAGCTCAATAGGGACCCTCTTTACTATCAAAAAGCCCTTCTTTTGGGAGTTAAAACAGTAAGTACTTTTTTTTTTTTTTTTTGCCAGAGGGCACATGTGTTCACCAGATAGAAGAAAAAGCACCCCTCAATGGGACGTGGCTATGCTACAATCTCTTCGCCCCTATTTCTCCATCCTGTTGGGATTTGGGGCTCACACATATGCCTGGCATGTTTTTCAGGCAGCTGGGTTCGGGACTCCAACACGCAGCTAGCCACATGGGATCTAGCTAGGTGAACCACTAGGCCATGGGCTGGTCCCAAACAGTAAATTTTAACAAATGAATGGCTAGTCATATTTCTTTCTCAATATGGATTCTGTTGACCAAAAGAACAACTATAAAGCAAAAATTATAAAGAAAAAGGTAACTTAAAGCATCAAATAAGGGTCAGACCCATCAGCAGCATGGCCAGTTGGGAATGGCTTGTCCACTGAGCTCAAAAAGGCCTTTTATACCAATAAAATAGATACAATACACGTGAGTTGTTGAGGAAGAGCTTACAATTAGACAAAGATAACAGAAGAAGGTCTCATGGGGGTGGAAAAAGGGACAGCATTGGTTGAAGATCCATTAGCAGAAGCTGTCTGAAGCCAACTTACCAGTAGTCCACTCAGGGATGTGTGATCAACCCACGGGCACCTGCAAACCTGGAATGATGCATCTTTAAATCAACCCAGATAGTTCCCGAGGGTCCTCCCCGACTCAGGTCTGTGCAGCCTTGCAGCCGTCAGGTTGTGAAGACTTCCAAAGGAAAACTATCCACCTGTCCTTGAAAACAAACTCAAGGTGAATAAGTGAATGAGCTTGTTGTGCACTACATCTTTCTCTCAGTTCTCTTGCTGCATCCCAGCAGATGAAGGTGTCAAGAATGGGAAGAAAAAAGAAATCACATTTAATCCTAAAATTTTACCTATTGTTTTGTTAGCACTCAAAAACTAACCGATATGGGGACCAGCAGTTGGCATAATGGCTATGTCGCTGGACTCCCATGTAGTCAACCATGGTTCGAGTCCCAGACCTGGTGGCTTAAACTCATGCTGAGTGCGTGTGCGTGCGTGCTCAAGATCCCAAGAGGAGAATGGAGGTTGTGGCGTGGCCATCTCCCTGGCGGTGATTTCTCGCTTTCTGTCTCTCTGTCTCTATCTTTCTGACGAATGCACGAGCCCTATACCAAAAAAACACTCCAAAAGAAAAAAATGAAAAAAAAAAAAAAAAAAAGAATAGGCCATCAGTTCCTGACAACCTTCTCTCCGTGAGTGGAGAATATTGGATGGGGTTAGGAGTGCTGGAGGGAAGTCCGCAGTCTCAGCTCAGGCTTGTGGGGTCTCCACAAAAAATCAAAAAACAAAAACCTAACCTATACGTAGATGTCAAGTAGAACACACACAGGAAGAAATGAAAGAGCATTTAGCTGGGGCTGGCATGTGGTGTGGTGGTTAAAGGTACTGGACTCCCACATAGCTGACCATAGTTCAAATCCTGGACCTGGTGGCTTGCTTTTTTACTTCCCCTCTCTCTCTCCATCTCTCTCTGTTCAAACTATAAAATAATAATAATAAATAAAGTTAAATAAAAAATAATTCTTGGGACCAGCAGTTAACGTAATGGCTATGTCACTGGACTCCTATGTAGTCGACCGTGGTTCGAGTCCCGGACCCAGTGGCTTAAACTCACGCCGGGCGCGTGTGCGTGCATGCCCAAGATCCTGAGAGGAGAATGGAGGAAAAGGGATTGCGGCGTGGCCATCCCCCCTGGGGGGTGATTTCCTGCTTTCTGTCTCTCTGTCTCTCTCTGTCTGTCTGGTGAGCACACGCGCCCTATAGCAAAAACCTCTCCAAAAAAATAAAATAATTCTTAAAAAAAGAAAGAGCATCTAGCACGAAAAGAAAATTTTTTATAGAGATTTTTGGTATAGGGCACCTGTGCTCCCTGGAGAGAAAGAGATAGAGAGCATCCGCCCCAGGGAGATGGCCACACCACAATCCCTTCTCCAGCTCCTCTCGGGATT